TGGTGGGACAGTCCAGCCAAGACTGGTAATATGCATCGTGATCTTCCAAATGGTACGGAACGTGGCATTATTGTGTTGCAAGAGGAAGGTTGTCTTATTCTCTGGCCTGACTCAGGAAGTTTGAGCATTCAGCTTAGCCAGCATCGCAATATAGTAGTCAGAGTTGATGGCCTATTCAGTTTCCAAGAAATCCATAAGGATCACCTACTTCCTATTCCAAAAGACAGTGCACATTACTTTATCTATTGAGGGCAGCATCTTGAACTTTTCTTTCAATAGGAAATACACATCATCACTCCATGGACTCACATTTTGACTTTGGCTGGCAGTGATGACATCACATCTTGTTACCAGTAATTATGTGACCCAGGCTACTGTCACCTTCAACCTTGTATTGATTGAATAGCATGTGTTCCTTCTATTTCTGCATGAGCATTTGTGGAAATCACCTAGCGCAAACTTTGCTACTTCATTAAAAGGAATGTCAGATAGTACAGACTAATTAAGCGCAATAAATAAAAACAAAACAAAAATAAAAATGGAGGAGAGAAAGAAGGTCCTTCCAAATCATTATCGACAGGCCCTCCACCACTCCCCTCCTGGGAAAGACCAGAGAACTCTTCCCCTCTTATTTGGAATCAGAAATCATGTAGAGGCTGACTCCTGGGAGATGCAGTACATCCTAGAGTATCTTCCTTTTTGAGGGTCAGAGCTCACATGAGATGCTAGTGATAAACAGGAAACATAGCTCCACAGTGGACTATGTCTCTTTACCCAACAGCCTATTGCATGATGTTATGAAATGGCAAACAGATAAAACCAGACAGCAGTGAAATTTACACACAAATCCATTAAAACACGACTGGCCAAAAGTTAATTGTAATCAAGCAATCCTTACAAATCTTTCTAGGTAACACCATGTACAAATAATCGATATATTCTGATACAACCTGATTCTGAAAAGAATCTGCTCTGAAAAGTGCACTTTTTTCTTCCTTTTTTTTTTTTTATGATAAATGTTGGGTGAACAGTAAGTAACAAGAACAAGATGTCACACAGACACAAAAACTGTGGTAAGACTGAAAAATTGATTGAAGGATATAGTGTATAATTGTTTTCCTTTAAACTTTGAGAAATTATAATAGAAATCATAGCTTTAAGGAAAACAAAAACAAAAACAAAAACAAAAAAACCTTGAGAATCCCTACTTTGAGTATTTATTTAATTTTATCATATTGTGAGCACATATTTAATTTTATAACGGGTCAACTTGATCAAATTCATCATTTAGTGAATCACAAGACTAAAATATCATCAAGGAAAGCTAATAAAAACTCCTCCATCCCTCAAGAAAAGTAAGTACTAAATTTGGGGATGCAGATATAGGCAATAAATATTCTTCTAAGAAAATTTACTTGAAAGTACATTAATAATAACTGTTGCAAACAAAGATCTGATCACAAGGCACATAAAAATAGCAGGTAGATTAGAAATTATGTTTTGAAAGAGATGATAAATGCTTGAAAAATATTTATTGAATAATGAATAAAAGAGAAGCTACCAAATTTGTTCAAGAATAGTATGACTCTCAGATAACTGTTGTTTTCATACTAGCTTTACATTTACATGTACTGCTGATGCATAAACAGTCTGTGAAGACTCCCATCTTGGTGAACTTCAAAAGCCACCTGGATGTGTTCCTGGGCAGTCTGCTCTGGGCAACTCTGCTTAAGCAGGGAGTAGGACCAGGTGACCTCAAGAGTTCCCTTTCAACCTCAGACATTCTGCAGTTTTGTGATATTTTGCTATACCAGGAGGTATAGTCCTCCTGGCTGTGTGGTCAAATTTAGCCACAAGTTAATTTTCAATGGCAGAAAAGTGGGGATAATCAGCACAAAGTCAGACATCTGTCATATACCGTGATCTGAGGGGCTATTATTCTTCTGGATTAAAAAGGAAAAGTTAAAAATCAATGTATGCTGGGATTACTTGATATAAATTGTCTTCTGATATCCATATACCAAGTAAGACAAAAACTGGACAAGTTTCAGAAAGAAATGACAAAAAGGGAATTTTCAATTGTATCAAAGACCAAATTGCTTGACCAAACTATTCCCATGCCACTTCCACAAACAAAAATAATTGGTTTTCTCATAACTTTCTGCATATTCTGCAAGTATACCATGTTCAAAGAGCTTTTTTTTCCCCCTATTGCTACTATCAACACTACAGTTTCATCGTTATCTATTTTCATGTTCTTCTTGCAAAACTTTTAACTGTACTCATTTTTTATGTAAGTTACATCACAAACTTGAAGTTTGCTTACACAATAAAAAAATATCTCCTTATGTTTCTATATGCTGAATTAAAATTACTTTATTTAATTAATAAGCCTTACAGGCTTCTTCTGCCATATAAAATGTGCAACTGACACTTGTATGGAATTCCCCTTATTCTATCCAGATGTCAAAGTAGAAAGAATTTACTGCAATTTATATCTATATAAATAAATATATATATAAAATTATATATTTATATATATAATATAAATTTATATATATTTGATTGTCTTGCTCTCTATAATCTCTTTGTAAACAGATTTGGACAAGAAATGCTTACTTGAATTGTATCAACAGATTGTATTTATTATATTTTGACTCTTAAGATATTATTAGAAATGACAACAATAAATTCAACACGTGAAATTATTTTAAGGATAATCAAATTATGATTTTTCTCTAATACTTTCAAAACAAATATGTAATTTTTTTTAAGAATACAGAGGTTTTTTGTAATAATATCAATACAGAAAAACAAAACATAACAAAAAGTGTTGGTGAAAAGAGGAAAACCATCTTCAAAATCTGCCACTATTAGAACAGAGAATTTTAATCATTAGCTTCTGTTCACCAGGGACACTGGAGTTAAAAGGCTGTCATATCTAATTAACATTTAGTTAGGAGTACAGAAGAAATACACAATAGGCTTTCATAGCTGGCAGTCAAAATCCAGTTGGGAGAGGTGAAGCAATCCACTACTTAGAGGCAACCAAAACAATGTAATATATGACTAAGACATCTCACTAGTCATTTGTGCCAGCATGTCCTAATTGAAGAAAAGATCTATAGGAAACAGAAAATTAATCTTTCTCCATAATACTATATATAATAGAAATTCATTATATTATATATATTATATAAAAAAGATATCATACCTGATATCTTTTAGGACACTTCCTAGAAGATCTCTAGTGTGACCTTGTGAGACATGAAAAATATAATCATAAACTACTGCCTGAAGAACTGAAGCCATAGTTGTCATTTTATGCAGTTTCACTCCTTTCGTCAGGCAAAGAAATAGAAATCATTTTCTTTATTTCCTCCAATTTCACTTTGTCTGGACTTCAATTCAGCTACATCCCAAAAAATTTTACTAGGCTTCCGTTCCAGCAAAGAGAAACAGGTATAAGTACTTTTCCAATTCTGACAAAATTACTTTACTCAATAAACCACAGAACGTTAAATGATTAAACAGTTGCAACACTGTAGAATGTACTGATATCTTTTCTCAGTTGAACTGAATCATACGAATCATACTATCTTCACGATACATTAAGGGTATCAGATATTGTGTATTATTGTAATTGAAAGCAAAACATTTTTTTCTTATCTTACAGTTTCCTTACAATTTCAAATGACTGTGGATTAAAAAAAAAAAAAAAAGGAAAAAAGAGAAAAAAAATCTGTCCCCTCCCCCCACAGGAAAAAAAAAAAATAAAAAAAATCAGCAGATAGTAGACTAAAGACTATTGCAGGGAACCTTTAATGTGAAAAACCAGCACAGAAAAATCACGTGTGAAGCTTAAAACCGAGAACTGCCTTTCCTTAAGCAGTATTCTCAAAAACAAACGGAAGAGAGAAGAAGGTGGTCAATAATAAAACAGGGTATGCTAGTACACTTGCTTTTAGCACAAGAACAATTTTTGTTTCACTTCATTTCTCCAAGCACCACGTTTAAAGTGTCTTCATAGCCGAAAAGAGTTATTGCAATTACCAAAACTTTGACTGAGCAATAACTGTAGTACAGGAAGTTACAAGTAAGCCATTCACAATACCTATTTGAACTATTCTTGTATTTCTTATTGTTTATTTTGATATATGTAAACTTGACATACATATATAAACTACAACAAAACAAAATTAGCCTCTAGTAGAAAGGACATCCTTGACTACAGAAAGCAGACACCATCATAAATCTTAGGGGCTTATTTTGAGCTTTAATTTTTCAAAATCAATGCTTATTAATAGTGCTGTTACATACATTATCTTAACCTTTATTTGGATCACTATTTCAAATGAAATCATAGAACTTTTAAGTATCACTATGCAAAATTAATCCAATACATACACTACATGGACTTACACCCACCAAGAGGCAGATGTTAAAATATAATTAAATAAATATTGAATAAATAAATATAATTGAAATATCCTAAGTTATTGAGTGTGTTTCTTACAGGATGGATCTTTGTCACTGTATTGTTATTAAAAAAAATTTTTACCCTAAAAATTAAGTAACTACTTAGGTGACAATAAAAGATAAACACTTACTATTTTCCTTAAAAGTGGTATGATGGTGATAAATAGTATATGAAAGCAATAAATCTGGATGGCTAGGCTACTTTGTTTGAAACAAACACCTTTTGCCTTCTCATAGGGTGCTGAACTAAACTGCTTTGTCAATGATCCAAACTTTAGTCAATAATAAGGAAACTGAAATTATCAATCAACTAACACAATCTTAAAAGGGGGATAATTTACTTACAGTTTAGGTGGGAGTAAATATCCATTACCAACTTACCAAGCAGAGTTCATTTGTGACAGAGTAATTACTAAGTAACTGAAATATTGTGCAGACTGCTACCACTGTATTTAGCGTACCAAATTCTATCAGCTTTCCCATACAACTATATTTTTGGAAATGTAAACATAGATGCTTACCAAGATGGTGGTAACTATTAATGAACGGTTGGACAGAGAATCTGTGATGTTTGCTGGTTTTCCTTTCTGATTCTCTGTCATGTTAAGGCCACTCAGTGGATCCCAAGTTCCAACCTATAAAAAGAGTATATAATTAGATAAATTGTCCATGAGTTACATTTCATCATCTAGGAAAGAACATGCTAAGGAAAAAAAAAAAAAAAAAAAAAAACAACCAAAAAACAGATTTCTAGGAAAAAAATAAAAAAGTTGCTAGTACTTATTATTCAATCCTATTCCATTATCTCTTGTTATTATATTTCTAAAATATGATTCATGATAATTTAGACCGCGTTTCTTGAAGTCTGACATTAAGGGAAAAAATGATGCACAGAATATCTACAACCACTCTGAATACTTAATTTTCCACTAACTTTCATACTTCAAGATAAACCATATTTGAAGATAACTTAATGGTTTGGTGGAAACTGCGCAGAGCAGAGTGCATCGTCTCTACAGAATGATTTATCCTTTGTGCTCATCAAAGAGAATAGAGGGACAAAAAGATATTATGGCAAAAATGTCACAGGGAAGGATGAAAGGAGAGTAGGTGCTATAATTTAACTGTTTTCCAGATAAATGTTCAGTGCATAGATCTTTTGACATTTTCTACCCTGAATTTCTTATTCCAGTAAAGCCAATAGGATTTTTATCTAAGTTAGGACCCAGGGTTATGATTTAAGGTACAGGTCAAGGACAGTTTCACATACTAGACAGTAAGTCTTACATTCACATTATTCATCTGCAATTTCATCACTATAAAACTAAAGCAGGCAATAAATTTTAGACATCAAAACTTTTATATCACTCCCATCTAGAAAAGTAAAATTGTCTTTTTCATCTTTGAAAACATTTCATCTATCATTTAAAATACCAAGCAGTATCTACAACACAATGTAAATAAACTTTAAAACTGAATTCAACAATTCTGTAATTCAACAGTTCCATAAAAAGTTTGGTTGTAAGTATAAATATATATTTATACTATATACACTATATACATATGTGTGTATATATACATATGTGTGTATATATACACATATGCATATATATATGCACACATATGCACACATATATATGTGTTTATTTGTATATATAAATACATAGACAGGAATACTTATTAAATCTTTCAAACTGATTCCTCAGCAACATATTACAGCATACAGTCTGTCAATTTCAGGATGTGATTCAGCATGGGTTGAATAGAGTTTCATCTCTTAAAACTGAGAACACAACAGAGCATGAATCAGCAGAAGCAGTAACAAAGAAAAGCTAAGTTTGCTTTCATTTTTACCACTTCCAGTTCCTCAGGAATATTATCTTTCTTCCCTGCATAACACTTGTATTATGAGGCAAAAAGCCATTCCTTTGAGTGACTGTGCTTCTAGAATTTTTGCCTTTCATTAAGTTGAAAAAAGAACCATGAAGGGAAGGCAGGGGAACAAATGAGTCCAAATACAATTGCAATATAACAAAAAAGACATCTTCTCAAAGCACTGAAACAAAAGGTTACAATTAATAAACTTTTTTCTTCATGTACTAGTTTAGAATAATTTCATTTTGTGATCTGAAATGTTTATAGGAAAACCAAAATATGCAGCCCTGAATTTTGGCCACAATTAAAAAATAGTAAAAGGATTGAAAACTTTCTGTTGCAATATTTTTTTAATTATAACAATCATGATTCAATTTTACTTCGGAAAAGCAAACATTATTACTTAAAATATTTCCTTCCCTACGTTTAAATACACCTATAGCAACAAGCAAATAATTATAAACTTTTAGTATTTGTGTTTTTATCTAATCCTAACTACACCCATGTAGTTTAATAAGAACAATCAACTGCACATTTTCAAAGAGGTGTCTTGTTAAATTACTGCAATGTTTTTCTAAATGAGTTTAAATGCAATTGCTTTGAACAAGTGTTGTTTTTTTTTTTTTTAATTAAAAATGTAAGAAATTGAACAATTTTCTCTAGAATACATCCTTCTTTTACTCTTAATGAACTCAGCAAGTATGCCACAGACTCTGAAATATGACGGATATTTATACCTGCCAAATCACACAAATATCTCCTAAAAGCTACTTCTAGAGAAAACTGTGCATAAGCAGCGGAGTTAATTCATTTTTTTTTTCTATTTGCTTAAACACAGTGTTTGAATTGTAAAGTATCTTTTTGAAAGAACAGAAAAGTTAATGTGTTTTCACTAGAAAACCGAGAGTACTTTAAACGCCAAAAAGTGTTGAAAAAGCAAATCGAGGTACTTTGCTACACAGAATTTCAATTCAAAAAACTTGCAGTTTACTTCTACTGCCTTACCTGTACTTCCAACAAACTTTTAAGATCTCCTAAAATGTGGAAGAAACTGATAAACTTATATACAGCTTAGAGAGGACATTCACACCGTAAATACAGGCACAAAGATGGTGCTTTAGTTTTCCGTTTTATTTTTCAACATGGCAGGGCAAGAAAACTATTTTAAATGTTATAAAAAAAAATGATAAAGTGAGAAGCCCATATTCAAAGTTATGGCTAGACTGTTTAGACTGTTTTGGAGTGAGTTTGTCAACTTGAAGCTGCAAGCACATATTATCCACAACATGAACATGGGAACTTTTCTCCCTGTTTATGTATTACAAAAACTTGGACAGAAATTTTGAGAATTGTGTTGCTGGCAATATTCTTTGTGTTTTGTTTTTCAGTTTGTTTGCGTGTTTTTTTTTAGCTTGATGTTTATTTTTAATATTACAGTTTCCACAAAAAAAAAAAATAAAATCCTCAAGAAATTTGAAATCTATCCATAAAGTGCCATCATCTGACCTAAGACAATGGTAGCAAGATAACATAGCTTCTTTCTATAACTGCATGAAACAAGTCCTAAATTTGTAACCCCAATGAAAAATACATATTTGAATACTAAATACTACATCTTATTAATAGTAAATTAACAGTAAATCACCTTTCATTTTCTTATGACTAAGCTTCAGCTTTAACATTGTTTTCCCATAACATCCAAAAGTATAGCACCTTCATGATGATGTAGAAGCAGATATTGAGACAGACTAATATATTCATTACCATAAGTAAATAACAAGGAAGAAATAAGAAATACATACTTTAAATTTGAATGTAGTGTCTTTTACATATATATATAAAATACTTATATACAATAATTATATACATATATGTATGCTATTATTTATAAGCAAATTACCTGTTTCTAATTACCTGTTTCTACAAAGACACTACCCCTTGATACTGCAATAAACAGACTGTCTGGGAATATTATAGAGGAATACTGCACTATGCTTGCCAATTTTTATATTATTCTCTATTCTCTGCGGCTGCTCACTGCAGATACAAAATATTAGACTAGATGAGCTCAGAGATTTTTTCTCATGCACCACAAGAAAAGAATGTAATGTACTTTTTGAGCATATCTCAGGTTTCCAAGTCGCCAGTCAATTGTATACCACTTTTAAAAATCTTTTAAACAACCTTCACAGTATTTAATTAATAGTTCAGTAGTACAAACAATATCAGAACTAAATCTAAAAAATCTTAACCAGAAGTGTTTCAAGACGGTAATTATCCAAGGACAAAATTCAGCAAATAATGAAAAAAAGTCTGGCTAATATTCGCACAAATTTAATTATCTTTTATGTGTATGTATTCAAGTATTTTGTGCACTGCCTCAAACAACAATAAAAAAAATGAAGTTAATAAAATGTTACTTATTTCCACAAATATTTAATACTAAAATATCATTGACATTATTTGTACAGGAATACAAAAAAAATGAAAATAGTAGGCCTGTTAAAACAGACTAAATAGTCATTCAAGTCCTGACTACTGAAAGCTGCACACAGTAAATCTGTACAATAAAATTTTAACAGATTCATATAGTAGAATAATTAATTATAATTATGATGCATTCTTGAAGTTTAGAAGGAAGAGTGCCGAATACAGTAATTTTTCACTTTAAATTTATACAGTCTGCTTAGCAACACAGTAGGAATTTGAAAAGAAGAAATTTTGGACTGTATTGGACTTCAACCCAAAGTTTCTAGTCTCTTCTGGAAATAATAGTTGGAATTTTGTTAGATTTATTTATCAGAACAACAACATAAACCTTGTCAGTCTTTTTCAAATTTCTCACCTTTTTAAGGTTATTGATCATTTACATTATATTTTTTCAAGTTGATTTCTAAGTGAAAGCAATTTAAAAGGCATAGTCAACAGTTTTTACAGTATCTAGTGTGAATGCAGCAAAGTTCCTGAATTACACTTTCATACAAATAAAAAACTCACAAGTGATTACTTAGATAGTTAGGTATTTTTAAAAGTGGTAGTTTCCTTTTATCTCAATAACTTTCACAGATACATCATGATGCTAGTTTATCTTCTATAGTATGTATAAAGAGCACCTGTTTAAAATAAAAGTGAAATTTGCCATTCAGTAAAAAGCCTTTCCTAATCATATCAATCGTAATTAAACAAGTTATTTATGAAAAATATGAAATTCCTTATTCTTCTAATTGCAATGTAGGGAATAGTCTTCTTTAGTAAAGCTCAGACTTTCTTCAAAGCTACTATCCTTACCAAGACTAATGCAACGTAATTCACCGCAATATCAAATAAGAAGTACTGTACACTTCTGAAATTTACATTCTCTGAGTTTACCTATTCTCCAGACTAGTTTAATGAATATAATAGAATCATAGAGTTGGAAGAGAACTTTAAAATCATCTAGTTCCAACCTTCCTGCTACAGGCAGGGACACCTCTCACTAGACCAGATTGCTCCAAGCCTCATTCAGCCTGGCCTTGAAGCCTCCACTGTGGGGGCATTCAAATCCTCTGTGGGCAACCTGTTCCAGTGTTCCACCACCCTCACAGTAAAGAATATCTTACTAATACCTAGTCTAAATCTACCCTCTTCCAGTTTGAAGCCATTTCCCTTCATCCTGTCTTTACATGCCCTTACAAAAAGTCCCTCCCTGGCTTTTCTGCAGGCTCCCATCAGGTACTGTAAGGCTGCTATAAGGTCCCCTTGGAGCCTTCTCTTCTTCAGG